GGATGATTTGGTACAAGTTATAGAAAAGGTAAAGGTAGCTCCAACATGCAGTACTGCTTGGGGGACCAGGAAGTCGCCCCGAGGCCACGGGAAGCAGCCAAGGCTTAGCTCTCGTCGCTGTCCCCCAGGGTGTGCTTGTCAAAGAGGTACTCGGCCATCCCCGCTTCAGGGGCCCCCAACCTGCGCAGGTTGGTGACGTGGTCGCCCAGTTCTTTGATGGATTTCACCTGCTCATTCAGGTAGTGCGTCTCAATGAAGTCGCACAACTACAAACACAGAACGGGAAGAACACGGTCAACTCCCAGCCATTCAGGAAGACCCCTCCTCCATTCGCTCTCAGGGGCCAATACTCACATGAGGGTCATTTTTCTCAGTGGCCAGTTTGTGCAAGTCCAGTAGTGACTGATTCACACTTTTTTCCAAGTGCAGCGCACACTCCATTGCGTTCAGCCCGTTCTCCCAGTCGTCGCGGTCTGGTTTCTTGATGTCCTGGAGGAAGATGCGGCCGCCCCGCTGGTTCTGCAGCTTCATCAGCTTCTCCGCGTGCTCCCTCTCCTCGTGCGATTGGTGAAGAAAGTATTTGGCAAAGTTCTTCAAAGCCACATCGTCGCGGTCAAAGTAGTAAGACATGGACAGGTAGACGTAGGACGCGTACAGCTCCAGGTTGATCTGGCGGTTGATGGTGGCCTCTGAGTCCTGGTGGTAGTTTTGGCGCACCTGCGAGGCGGGTCCATCCATGCTGTTGCAAATGGTAAGAATTCCTTCTTTTTTACAGCAGCATAGTATTCCATTGTGTAGATGTACCACAGTTTTCTAATCCATTCATCTGCTGATGGGCACTTATGCTGTTTCCACATGGTATGACTTTAGAGTGTCAAGAAGGCTCCTCTGCCCAAAATTTCTGGCTTTTCTCCCATTTCCTCCACAATGCACAGGTGTTTTTTTCTTTATTGATTAAGGTATTACATATGTGTCCTTATCACCCCATTGTCTCCCCATCCCCCCTGCTCATGCCCTCACCCACCCCCTAGTGTTGTGTCCACCGCTTATGCTTATATGCATGCATACAAGTCCTTTGGTTGACTCTCCTCCTTCCCCCGACTCTTCCCTACCTTCTCTCTGAGGTTTGACGGTCTGATCGATGCTTCTGTCTCTGGATCTGTTTTTGTTCATCAGTTTATGTTGTTCATTATATTCCACAAATGAGTGAGATCATGTGATATTTATCTTTCTCTGACTGGCTTATTTCACTTAGCATAAAGCTCTCCATGTCCATCCATGCTGTTGCAAATGGCAAGAGTTCTTTCTTTTTTACAGCAGCATAGTATTCCATTGTGTAGATGTACCACCTGTTTCCAAATCTTAGCTATGGTGAATTGTGCTGCTATGAACATAGGGGTGCATATATCCTTTCTGATTGGTGTTTCTAGTTTCTTGGGATATATTCCTAGAAGTGGGATCACTGGGTCAAATGGGAGTTCCATTTTTAGTGTTTTGAGGAAACTTCATACTGTTCTCCACAGTGGCTGCACCAGTCTGTATTCCCACCAGCAGTGCACGAGGGTTCCTTTTTCTCTGCATCCTCACCAGCATTTGTCATTTGTTGATTTGTTGATGATAGCCATTCTGACAGGTGTGAGATGGTACCTCATTGTCGTTTTGATTTGCATCTCTCGGATGATTAGTGACTTTGAGCATGTTTTCATATGTCTCTTGGCCTTCTGTATGTCTTCTTTCGAAAAGTATCTATTTAGGTCCGTTGCCCATTTTTTAATTGGGTTGTTTATCTTCCTTTTGTTAAGTTGTATGAGTTCCCTGTATATGTTGGAGATTAAACCCTTATCTGAGATAACATTGCAAATATGTTCTCCCATGCAGTGGGCTTTCTTGTTGTTTTGTTGATGGTTTCTTTAATGCACAGGTTTTATAGAATATGAAATTTTAACTTTAACTTAAGGAAAACATTAACTTTAACTTAAGAACTCCCTTTCTGGTGCTTTGAAGGCACAAAATCTGGGAATAACAACTATTGGTGTTTATTGATCAGTCAGTTCAGACTGATATTTGTTAGCTTCAACAACAAATATTGATTGTTAAAGTTCCAGAGGCTAGAAATCCAACATCAAGGTGCTGGCGGGTCTGTGTTTGATGAGGACCCTCTTTATGGTTTGCAGATGGCTGCCTTCTCTCTGTGTCCTTAGAGACAGAGAGAGAGCAACCTCATGTCTCTTCTCAAAAGGGCACTAATCCCCATTCATGAGGGCTCCCCTCTCCTGACTTAATCACCTCCTACAGGCCCCACCTCCAAATACAATCACATTGGGCTTCAATATATGAATTTTGGGGACAAAAACATTCAGTTCCTAGCAATCATTTACTATTGCTAGGATCTGTTTAAAGGTGTCAGTGTGCATTGTGTGTTTGGATTTTTAAAGAACCCTGTGAATGGAAGGTACTGTTTTCCCTAATTTAGAGATGAGGAAATCAAGGTTTCAACCTGTTGGTTAACTTGCCCAAATTCACACAGCTGGTAAGAGGCAGGCCCAGGCAGTCTCGCCACATTACTGCTTCCCTAACATTATGGGGAGCGGTTGAATAATACAAAAACAACATCTGATAGGCCTGGCCATTGTAGCTCAGTTGGTTAGAGCGTTGGCCATGGGAGGCGGGTTTGAGTCCCAGCCAGGGCACATACCTAGGTTGTGGGTTCAAACCCCTACGGGAGGCAATGGATCTATGTTCCTCTCTCAGATAGATGTTTCTCTCTCCCACTCTCTCCCACTTTTGCTCCCTCTCTAAAATAAAAATTTTTTAAATCTGACATTGGTACAATCCTCATTGTTCTTACAGTTTATACATTCAATTTCTTTCTTTTTTCAATCCTCACCCGAGGATACATTTTTCATTGATGAGAGAGAGAAAGAGAGAGAGAGAGAGAGAGAGAGAGAGAGAGAGAGAGAGAGAGAGAGAGAAAGGGAGAGACATCACTTGGCTGCCTCCTGCACATGCCCCTACTGGGAATAGAACCTGCAACCTAGGTATTTGCCCTGACTGGGAATTGAACCCACAATCTTTTGGTGTACTAGACGATGCTCCAACTAACTGAGCCACCCAGCCAGGCCTACATTTGTTTTCTTTTATCCTCATCAGGACTCCCCCTTGAGGAGGCAAGCTAGATGCTACTTTTAGCAACAGTTTGTCAGTTCGGTTTCCTCTGGGATAAGACTGCATGCAGCAGGTTGGGGACGGAAGAGGGAAGAAGCAGAAAGGGACTGAGGAGAGACCAAACTGAAGGGAAAGGGTGCAAAATGCAGTTGAACACAGATACAAAGAACAGATTGGAAGTTGCCAGAGGTGGTAGCTGGGGGAGAGGAATAATAGGTGAAGGTGGTCAAAAGTTACAAACTCCCAGTTATAACATAAATCAGTCCTGGGGATAGATGGTATAGCATGATCACTATAGTCAATAATGCTGTATTGCATATTTGAAAGTTGCTAAGAAAGTAAACCTTTGAAGTTCTCATCACAAGTAAAAAATTATAACTATGTGTGGTGATGGATGGGAACTAGACTTACTGTGGTGATCATTTAGCAAGATAAAAAATATTGAGTAATTATGGTATACATCTGAAACTAGTATAATGTTGTATGTCCATTTATATGTCACTCTCCTGCTGGGACCTGCTCTGCTCACACAAAACACTATTGTCCTGTTAGTAAGTCCCCCAGAATGGCACCCCACCTTGAGAAGGAAAAACCATAAGAGAGCCAGGTTCTCTGTAAAATATAGAAGGCATTACAGAAGCAAGAAGAACACTTCCAGAAATTTACCATAAATGAAACAGTCATCAACAGAATAAGAGAGTGCAGAGTTAAGGCTCTCACTTGATTGCCCTGAAGAAGAAGAAAAGAAAAATCCTTATTGGGGTTCGAGCTAGTGCCTAGGTTTTAAATTGTTTTAGGGAGACTTGCAATTCCAAGAATGAGAAATCTATGGCAATGCAGCAAGACAAGAACTATTTAAAATGGTGTCCGTGAATGGGTGACTCTGGCAGTTTCTAATAGCTACTTAGATTGCACACCTTCCATGTGGTGGGCACATCACCTACTTACCCATTTGTTTCTCACAACGACACCATGCAGTAAGAGTTATTAGCTTCACTTCTGATTAGGTTGCTGGGACTCAGAAAGGCTAACATAACAGCTAGAAGTTTCTGTATCGAGATTCAAAACCAGGTTTGTCCTGCTCCAAAGGCTGTGTCGTATTCCGATAAAGCTCCCGGATCAGTCCTACCTTATCCTTACATCAAAGAGAAAATACTAGACTGGGCTGGCAAACACAGAGTCCCCATTTATGCACCTCTGATGCTATCCCATTCACTGCCTCGGGGCATCTTAAATTGCCTTCTTTAATAAACAAAGAAGCATGAGAGGGCTTACCTACAAGGAAATCTAATTCATTTGAAATACAACATAGATTTTTAGCTTTAGTTAGATTTATTTTTAGAACAATAGAGCAGAGGCTTTTTAACTCTTTTGAACCCGATCCACGGAATGAAAAGCCCTTTACATCACGTCCTAGTTCACACGAATGCACACACGTGTAACAGAAGTTTCACAGGACAATCCTCGCTACACGCTCGAGAAGCACTTGGACATTTTAGATTCTAGTCTAGTCTTAGTTGGTGTTCATAGTCTTCCTTAATGATCCTTTATTTTTATTACTGTGGTAAGAATACCTAACATGAGATCTACCCTCTTAACAAAATTTTAAGTTTACAATACAGTGTTGTTAACTATGGACACAATGTGGTTCAGTGGGTCTCTAAAACATTCATCTTTTATGATTGAAACTCTGCACCCATTGAACATCTCCCGATTTCTCCGCCTGGTCCCTGGCAACCAGAAGGAGCGCCTGTGCCTCTATTTTAGAAATCTCCTATTAGTGGGATTCTGCAGTGGGAAACACTATAAAGACTCCTCAAAAATGTGAAAGAGATCCTTTCTTTTTTCAAGATAGTCATGATCCACTGTATTGATGTCAGGATCCACATACGTGTTTGAATTACATTCATTGCAAGGGACTTTGAATTTTTTTTTTTTTTTGCTTTAAATTAAATAGTAGAGTAAAGGTGGTATGGAAGACATGTGACGTAGGTAGAAAGAGACAGAAGAGGGACCAAAAGAGAGAGAGATTTTAAAAATGAATTATTGATGGCAACACAGTGGAAATATTAACATCCTCATGCATTCTTAATTCTTGAACCGAGGAAGAGATGCCGCTTTTATAAATGCTGCTTTTTTCCCCTACAGGCTGATTAAAGATGATGAAATACCAGATTGGCTTCACTAAGTAGACATTTTAAAGTCCAAAGAAAACTAAAACTCAAAGATTAATTCATCTTCTGAGTCTCAAATAGTATTCATCAGCTCACTTGCTAACTAGGGCAAGTCTCTCTGAAGCAAATGCACCAAAGAGCATGGATATCGTTGTCCACTAGATGGCGACATAAAACAGGAGTAGCCCCTTCCTTAGCCATATTTACTGACTGGTAGGTTGATCTATGCTACAGAATTTCTAAACCCAGGGCTACCCAAGAATTCACGTGAATTTAGCCTGAAAGTTTACCCACTGCTCCTGGCATGTTCCTGCCTCTTCTTGGCCCATCCCAGGATTTTAGCTTTATTCTTGCTGACAGACTGCCATTTAAAATTAGTAATATTCTTGGCTATTTCCTGTGGCAGTACTGATGAACTGCTGCTGTGTAAAATCGAAGCCATCATAATGTCTGCATTTATTAATAATCTGAAAATTTACCATATGCCATTAAGCTTTTATTTCTTGCCTCTTCCATGTAACATTTAAGAAACATTATGGGTCACTGTGTCATTTCCCATTGTTAACAATTTCTATCTCTCTAAATTATTCTACATATCATAAAGTTGCCAGAAATATTTAATGGACATTTTAGTTTTTATCGTTTAACTGAAAAAAAATGGTAATGGTATTCTCAAATACACATGGGCAAGCCATTTCCCCTGAAAGAACTAATAACTGGTAAGTTGAAAATGTATCATAAACAAAAATGTATGCTTTTTGCAATATGGAAAGAGTCTTTTGAAATAATCATATGTGTGAGAGACTTTTTAAATTTTCATCGAAAGATGCCTGTTCATAAGACTTATTTACACTTACTTGCAAGTCTCACTTATTTGAATAATTTTTTAACATAGGCAAAGAAAATATATTTATGAGTGATTGTCTCTTGCTACTTGTATTTGTATATCATTTGAATTTTGTGAGTCCATATTACTTTTACAAAGAGGAAAATAAAGATGTTTTGTTATAAAAATAATATGTAATGATGAGGGAAAACATGAACTTTATTATGGCATCATTTGGAAAGTTTTTACTAACAGATCAGTTGAATGCTCACACAATTTAAGTGCCGTGTATGTTAACTTTGGCTGTGAATTGCTGGTTTTAGAAATAATATTTCTTAATTTAGGTCATGTCCACTGTATTCTAATCAATAATTAACTATCCTTCTTAAAGTGGAAAGAATATCAAGTTGTTCATTATCATTATTGCAAAACAACTAGTAAGACAATTGGTAGTAGCACTTCTAGTTGTTAAAAACAGAAAAATCAGTATATTGAATATTTTACCATGCTTCAAGCTGCACAGTAACCCGCTTACATTAGCTCATTTTATACTTTTAATAGGTGTGTGACATACGGGGGGGGAGGAGTCTTTTTAGCAGACATTTAAAGTATTGGATGTTCCTTCTTGCTTTTTCTTCGCTTACGTGGGGAGTGAGCCAGGGGAGGCACAGGAATGACTCAGAACAGGCTGTGTGTCCCCATCATGCTCACACCCAGTGGTGAATGGGCCCTTCCTGTGGGGTAGACTGTATAGGTCCTAATGATGCTGAATCTTGATGTCATATTGATTTGTGACATTGTCCATCATCACCTTTCAAACTGCAACTCCCTGAGGTATATAGCATGTGTTCATTCAACTGATAAGCATGTTGAGTGCCAGGGACTTGTATCAGGTGCTGCATGCACAGAGGTGAGCGCAGACAGGCTCCCGGCCCACATGGAGTCTGAAGTCTAGCAGGGTACACAGACACTGACAAAATCAGCACACAGACAAACATATAATCACTAATTCCACTGTAAGACAAATGTAAAGGCTATATGAGAGTCAATTACAGAGTCAGGCATAATTTAGAGGGAGGGGTGTGTCAGGAAGTTTCTCTCAAGAAGCATTATTTAAGCTGAGTGAGTCCGGATTTACCAGGGAAAATTGGAGGAAATGTTCCAAGAAGGACTGTGCTATACAAAGGCCCTGAGGTAGGAAAATGCTTTACTTGTTGGAGGAACAGGAGCTCCTGTGGCCCCAGTAGAGTGAGCAAAGGGAGGTGGTAGAAGCTGGGGACAGAGAGGCAGGCAGGGGCCCCAGTATTGGGACCTTGTTGTCCATATTAAGAATTTTGGATTTTATCCTAACAACAGTGGTAAGCCATTGATAAGTAGAGAATATATGGAATCTTTATGTTTCTAAAAAATGACATCAGCAGTTTTGATGAGATTGAATGGAGTAAGGGTTCACAGTGGAACATCAGCTCAGAGGTGCCTACTGTAGTCTGGGAACAGGTGGCAGCCGATCGATGATTCTCTCTCATCATTGATGTTTCTATCTCTCCCTCTCCTTTCCTCTCTGAAATCAATAAAAATATTTAAAACACACACACACACACACACACACACACACACACACACCAAACACACACAAAAATCAGCAGCCTTAACCGTTTGGCTCAGTGGATACAGCTTCGGCCAAGGAACTGAAGGGTCCAGGGTTTGATTCCCGTCAAGGGCAGGTACCTCCGTTGCAGGCTCGATCCCCAGCCCTGTACTGGGATGTGCGGGAGGCAACCAACTGATGTGTCTCTCTCACATCAATGTCCTACCCCCACCCCCTGCCACGCCCTTCCACTCTAAAAATCAATGGAAAAATATCCTCGGGTGACGATTATTAATAAAACAAACAAACAAAAAAGCACAGCAAGTGTTAATTCCTTCTTCCTTCCGCCAGTGGATTCAACCACCACTCATATAGGTTCACCCACATTTTCACCCGGATAGAAATAGACATTGAACTCTTCCTAAAAGTGCTATTGTACACATTTTACAATAAACTCTTTGTAGAGAAGGACAATGGTGTCCAGTGAACCCACCCCAACTGGGGAAATCATAATTCCTCCAGCAGAATCCTGCTCTGCTGGTGCTGAGCAAGCTTATGCCACCCACCGGCCTCTTATTTGTAAAACCGGAACAATAACCATCTGTATCCTACAAGGACAAAATTAATTGGTGTTTTCATATATTAACTAATATAGCCCTGGGGTTCATAGCAGGCCGTGAACATTTCGCCTAACCTGATGTATTTTCAGTTTGCCCCACGGGTGCTCTCTCTCCCCACAGTGCTAAGGTGAGGCCTGGAGGACACAGGCCTGAATCAGGGACCTTCTGTGCAGAGTGTTGCACCTGCTCAGATTTGGCAGCGGAATCAGGACTAAAGTTTCTAACTTGGTCTCCCCAGTTCAAATGTCTATTATTAACCCCTGAAAGAGGGTATGGGTCAGTTATTTGTTTATTTTCTTGCTTTGTTTGTTTTGTAACTCTGGGATTTAAGAAGATCATACATGAGAGTGATTTGTGGAAGAGAGGGTTTCTCAATCCTAAGCCTGGTTTTAAGGAACCCAGAGGCATAGTTGAGGTAGCAGCACCTTTTAAGATTCAATTAAAATTTGCTTGAGCCTTTTCCCCAATCTCCCCAGATTTGCTTATTAATTGTTGAGAATTTACAGACTTGTCTTTACTTCTGGTTCCAAAATTCTGGTCTTGCTGAACTCACATCCCTCTTGGGGTCCACTCCTACTTCTGACTTTTGTTCTGTTCTGGCCAACCCAGACATAGAATTCAGCCTCTGCTTTGATTTCCCCCAACAACTTTCCCAAGCAGAGCCTTTTGGAATCCCATTTCTCTCTTTAATCTCTCTCCCTTCTACTCTCTTGACTGGTGTGCCCCCATTCCCAAACTCCTATTGACGTTTAGGTTCAGATTGATTTAGCTATGACTTTACTTCCTTGTATTTTCTATCCCTGGCCCAGGGCCTTACTTTCCATCTACAAGTGGATAATCAAGGTATTATTCTAAACAAAGATAGTTCTCTTAAGAGTAACTTTGGTGCAGCCTGGCCAGAGTGATTCAGTTGAGCTTCATTCTATGCACCAAAAGGTTGTAGGGGGGGCCTCATCTCTCTCTCTCTCTTTCTCTCCCTTCCTTTCTCTAAGTATGTCCTTGGGTAAGGATTAAAAAAAGAGAGTAACTTTCGTGCAAATTTTAAAAGATATATGCACACACACATAGAAACACACAAAAACACACATATATACACATGCATATACCTAATACATATCATACATGTGCATATTATATAATACATAGAAATATATAAATAATTGCATAACTAGGTAATTGAATATATAATACATATTTTTAAATATATTTTATTGATTTTTTACAGAGGGGAAGGGAGAGGGATAG